TCAGGTTTAATTTTTTTTGTATTTAATTTTTTTTCATATATATATTTTTTTGCTTCGCTTCAAACATAAATACTAGATATTTTAAGCTTATTCTATGTACATTTTTTTGTTAGCAAAAATAATTTAAATATGAAAAAATAAACAATTATTTTAAATACAAAAAATAAAAAATAAATTAATTTAAATATAGTACGAAAAAAATAAAATTTAAGTATGAAGTAAAATTAATTTAAATACGAAAAAATTAGTTAAATATAAAAAAAATTAAACACGAAAAAAACATGTAAATAAAATTAACTGCAAAAAAATATATATATGAAAAAAAATTAAATACAAAAAAAATTAAACCTGAAAAAAATAAAAAACATTAAAAACAAAAAAAATTAAATATGAAAAAAATACGAAAAAAAATTAAAATATAAAAAGAAAAAAAATTAAATACAATTCACGTTATAGGAAACTCTCATTACAGTGAAGATTCGATATAGCGAAGAATTTTTGAATTCCAAAATTATTAAACTTCAATATAGTGAAAGTACATATTATATTCTCTTAATAAAAAGCTATAGTGAAGATTTTTTCTTAGCCCGAGAACTTCACTATACTGAAAGTAAATTGTACAAAAAAAAATTAAATATCAAAAAAAAATTAAATACGAAAAAAAAAATTAACCATTAATACAAAAAAATTAACTGTTAAACAAAAAAAAAGACTACTGCTAAATATAAAAAATAATTAGCTGCTAAATACGAAAAATAATTACCTGTTAAATATGAACAAAAATTAACTGTTAAATACGAAAAAAAAAATTAAATACGAAAAAAAATTAAACACGAAAAATTAAATATGAAAAAAAAAACTAAATACTGTACAAAAAAATTTTAAATATGAAAAAAAATTAAATATAAAAAAAAATTAGATACGAAAAAAATTTTACATACGAAAAAAAAAAAATTAAATACGAAATCAGATACGAAAAAAAAATTAAATACGAAAAAAATTAATTTAAATACGTAGTGATTTATTTTATATAATGAGAATGATCATCCAATGAGAACTTGGGGGAAAATTAGTAAACCCATTTCCTTTGTGACTATACAGGTATATGATTATAACCGGTTTAAACTGCCACGGTTACGTGTCAACTGACACGACTACGTGCCTTGAGTAACATTCACATGATTAAGCCACCAAGCTAATCCATCATTACCATTTTAGTATAAGTTATGAAATCATCAAAAAGAATTAATAAATTTATCAAAATTGGACATTGTTACCAACATGGATGGGGAATTATTAATTTACCGCTAAAATAAAGGATTTATTTACAATAATAAAAAAAAAGGTAAAAATAAAATTTTAATTCGTTACAGTATATAATGAACCAGGAGTTGCAATAGGTTGATTAATATCGCGTTTACGAAGTTTATTATAAATGAAGAATCCTGCAAATACTATGATAACAAATCCAGCCACCGCACCTACGCCAATACCAATCTTTGCACCTAATGAGAGTGAATCGCCTTGATCATCTGAACTCGAACTTCTATGATTATCCGGTTTTAGTGAACTAGTTCCATTTATATTTGATGTATCAAAAGTTTTAACCCACGTAAAATTTTGTGTATTTAAGAGATATACATTATTATTTAATACTAATTTTGCTCCTGACGGCTGTGGTGTTGGAGAAACAATTGAACCTAAATA